AGGACGCGCGTTGTACTCACAAGTGTTGTGAGTATACAGCGCATGCCCTGCCTTCTTCTATACATTTTGTATTCTTTCTAGAGCTGCTTTTTACGTCACATATAGAGCTCATTGTTCTTTGATCTGTCCACTTTCACGCTTTCTCGAGCAGTTACATTACTGCTATGTCGCGTAAAAACGACACAAAATGAAGCCTTCACACTTCTTTTCACCCTACCTGCGCAGCTTTTTGCAGCTAGGAGCCCCATACATATTTCGCACAAATGCTGATGTAGATCATCTCCTCTCCCGTTCGCACAAGTAATCCATCCTTTCCTGTAGCGAGTCGCCTGTAGTGACATAAGTAGTGGTCTTCGTCGCCTGCTTCATTGCAGTCTCCGCAGAGGGGAGATTAAGCGCGCCTTCTCTTGTCGTCCCCTTTGATCCGATCTGCGTCGTCTTTCGTTTGCTAGTAGCACGCTTAAAGGTTTCTCTTAGAAGCCCCCACTGGCCTGATAGCTGGTCCAGTGGGGTTCACGTATACAGTAGTCAGCAAGCTTAACACGAACGCTCCAACGGGTGGCCTGCACAAGTTTGACTGATAGCAGCCGCGAAGCGCAGGATGCCATTACCAAGATAATATCTCGGTATGCTTAGATAGTATGTCGACATGCATGGGTAACATCTCGGCAACAAAAGCCGAAGCTACGAGGCACTACCACATATCAAACTATTTCAGGACAAGCTGTGGAGCGTTCTTGTTAAGCAGGCTGACGAGTGTACACGTGTCGCACATCTTCGTCGCGTCTGTGTCATTTAATAACACGCGGATTGTGCAGCGAAACTTTAATGACTATTTCCAGAAACTCCCAGAGCAAGTGAGTCAGTGCTGCTTCTTTGCCTTCTATCGACAAAGTAGAGTGGGAGGCGTGATTTCTTGGCAGAATGACCCACTCCCCTCGGAAGGCGTCCACGTGCGACCGATTCATCAAGGCTGCTTCGCCTTTTTCTGATCAAGGGAGCGGTTACTACATGGTTGATGCGGCAGACACGCACACGAAAAGGAATCGGAACGGCAACGGCACCTGTGTCCTGAATCTTGAGCAAAGTCACTTCAGGGGGAACGCGTAACCCAGAGGTGGACAGTCAATTTCATGTTCAAATACGCTCCAAACTCTCATTATGCCAGCGACAAATAAAATTTAGCAGAATTTGTATAACTTGAGAGAACAAGCCCAACTTTACCGATCGTTTTACGCAGGATCGTGATTCAGAACTCTAAACGTTTTTTTATCGCCTAAACTGGCAAGCTTCGAGAGTATACTGAAGCACAAAATTTGCAACTCTTGTAGTTTCGATACCGAAAGAAATTTTGCAACCGCCTGACGTGTTTTAGAATCTGACTTAGATGGGCTATAAAGCGAGCAATTATTATTATTATTATTATTTATTTATTCATTCACAGAATACTGCGGGCTCAAATCATAGCCCATGCAGGAGTGGAAACAAGCACTTGTACAAAAAAATCCCAATTATTCAGTAGTCATCGTGCACAATGTACACACAATATAATACTGTCATACAAACAAGTGTACACATAGCAATTCATATTGAACGGCATTTTCACCACATAAATCAGTAACAATTCGTGACCAGAATAAGTACATGTACACAAAACTATTTACACCAATACATACTCACAATATAACACGTGGCACAGGAATAGCAATATTATTATGTTAATACATTCATGTAAATGACTGGGATTACTAGTGAACGTACTTCCTGTACATAGGAACCAAAAAACTGGGATAGTGCTGAGGGCTATGCTGTGATATATCGAAGTAGTCAATGTGTTGTAGCGACTCAAACGGCAGGGTTTTCCAGTCTGCAATGGTCTGAGGAAAAAGAGAGAATTGAATTGTGTTGGTACGTGTCTGGAATGGTGTTATTGACGCAGCATGGCGATTTTTAGTTTCTCGTGACGTCGGTGGTTGGATAAACGTAGACGCATCTAGTCCGAAATGTTTGTTTTTTTTAATGAAAAAGAAATTTTAATCTCAGTATTTTGCGTCGAAGCTGGAGTTCTTGTATATTATTTTCTTTCCTGGAAGCTGTGGGGTAATTTGTCATGTTGTACTTAGAAATTATAAACCTAATGCATTTACGTTAAATTATTTCTATGGCATGAATGTTTTCTCTGGTCTATGGGTCCCAAACGACGCACGCATATTCGAGAGTAGGTCTAATGATGGTATTACAGGCTAACAGCTTCACAGATGGTGGGGCAAGACGAAGTTTGTACTTCAGAAATCATAGCTTACAGAAGGCAGATGTGCAAATGTTCGACACATGCATATTCCAACTTAGATTTCTGGTTATTGTTACGCCAAAGTACTTATATTCACTGACCTCTTTGAGTATGTGAGTTTGTAAAGCATACGGAGAAGAAACAAAGTTTTCCTTTCTCGTGATGTTTATGTACACCGTTTTGTCTGAGTTTAGCTTCATATCCCACTGCTTACACCACTGGAAAACGTAATTAAGGCAGGAATTTAAAAACTGTTGATCATTCATGGCAACACACACACACACAATATGTATAATTTAATGCGTCTGAAGTCTGTAACCCTGTATTAGCGGGAGATTTGCCAAACCATTCTTCACTAATTGGCATATAAATCGAAGCGCGATGTGAAATTAAATAAATTTTACCTTAGTATATAGATCTTCCAATTGAAGTAGTTTGCAGACTTTTGACATCGTTAAGTTTTGTACCCAAGTAATACCTGATCGACGCTTGATTTTCCTAGCGGCAATGCCAATATATGCCAAGTCTAACTATTTTGGAGGCTATATCAGAAGGCTGGTTATGTGTTCTGCGTACGCAAGCACGTAAAAGCGTGCATAAAGCCGGGGGAAGCATACAAGAAAGTAGAAGGAAAAGAGAGTGTCATGTTCACAACTGACGGCTTAAGCCCCCGCGTGTGCACAGCCGAAGAGGTACCGCAGTACAAGTATGCTATGAAACTTTTACACAGTACACTTTGACTACCCGTCCCACCTTCCCCCAAATAAAAAACAAAACGAAAACTACTAGGTCACAACTACATTTATGTTAAAGTTTATTTATATTGATGGGCTCAATGAACGCACACACACACACACACACACACACACACACACACACACACACACACACACACACACACACACACACACACACACACACACACAAACACACACACACTTCATGGCTTTTTATAGTTGCTCTTGATAATAATGAAGGAAAGTGTAAATATAAGGGCTCGTTTTTTAGACAGAATATTGTTGAGAACTAAACGGACAAGATTGCTAGGCAAAGTATATGAATAGGATGTTATAGAAAGTAATTTTAATGTCAAGTGAACATATACATTACAATTACTTCTGATAACATCCCGTCATTTTTCCTGGCATTATTTTCTGTTAGTTGTCATTATTATACTCTCTAAATTAGGCAATATATAGCGCAAAGTAACACAAGGACGAGAACAAAGTACACAACTCGAGCACTATACAATAAAGGAATAAGCACTTCTCTGTGACTCTCCTGTAAAAACTACAACGACGAAAAAATACTTCTCTGCGCATGACATCTGATTGTAGCGTGTGAGCATCACCGCTGGATATATTCGTGCTTTGGTTGAAACCATTTGTTGCAAGTTATATAGCGCTCGTGTTGTGTTCTCCCGTTTCGTGCTTGCGTCAATTCGTTCTAAATATTGCCTAATGTCTAACCAACCAGGCCAAATTTCTCCCATTGTGCTTTTTATAGTTTATAGGGCTCTTTATAGTTGCGTCATTACACGTGCAAGCGTAATCGATGTGAAAATGTTCGAGCCACGCAGTTAATGCAGAGCATTCTATTAGCGAAGGTGGCGAAAACCTCATTAGTTCATAAGAACTTGAACCCCCTTTTTTTTTCTTTTTTGCAAGGCAGACGTCGTGATCAAAACTGGTTCTGCGTATATGCCAGAGCAAGTCGATTTCTCGTTCCCGTGCATTCACTTTGAACTTCCGAGCTGAAGCTCGCCATAAGCAGGAACAAAGAATCGGTCTGTCACACAGTTCATTCGAATGCGCTTCAAGCGGACTGTCGAGGCAGCACTCAGCCAAATTAGCCAAAATAAGGCGAATGCGCGTTTGCCCCTTGCTTTTGTGTAGCGGCACGCATCAGTGTATGCCCAAGAACTCGATCGCAGAACTCATGAATATTTTGAATTGCAGAATACGCCCCGCACTGGCTTTTCCTCGGGCTAGAAGAGAAGAAAAAAAAAGAAGAAAAAAAAAGATGGAGAGAAACTCTGGCACTGCCGCCCCAGAGCAGGTGCAACTTAAACGGCGCCTGCGCGAGAAAGGGTGGGACTATATAGAAAAATAAAGACAGGAAAAGCAAAGAGGCTGGACTGAAGAGGATAGATTTATTCGATTCTATCTACGGGGCAACCTTTTAAAGCGTATTCGCTTTGCTCCCTCGTAAAGTTGGTTCCGTTCAAAAGTATCTGAACGGGACATAAAAACGAGCTTTTGAAGAACTCTTTCGCGTGTAAATAAATAAATAAATAATATATATATATATATATATATATATATATATATATATATATATATATATATATATATATATATATATATATATATATATATATATATATATATATATATATATATATATATATATAAATAAATGTGGATCATTGCTTTGTGCTTTAGCCGCACAAAAGTTCCGGAGGCGATGTATCAAGCCTGATATCTGTCCCTCTTATATCTATATGCACTTACGAAACTCGAGTGTCTAGTTCTCTTATTTGTTCTAGAATTTACCGGCGTTATTTCGCTGTTAAAAACTGTTCACCACAAACACACACAAGTGCACGCACGCTCGTACTTTAAGCGTGCATGCGCGTGGTGTATTTAATACACGACACAAACGCATTGTTAGCATCGCTTTGCCACTTTTTTTTTGTAGAATCACTTACTGTTTGTTGCAAGGACACACAGCGTGATGAAGGATACGATGGGATACATTTCTTTCATCCGAGTCGTCCGAAGGCCCGCCACTCTCAGCCTGCAAACATAAATGAGACTATTTGGAGTCGCCAGCGGGTGCTTCATTGGTGGTGACTCCATTGCGCCATCTCTGCCGAAGCTTCTTCAGCATAGCCACACGATTTAGACGATCCTCAGTAGACTCTCGAACAAAATAGGCTTCATTATCGTGAACTACCCTTTATGGCTTCACATTGACGCAGCTTGCCTCACCGAAGCTCCTTGCGAAAACTGAGGCGTTGCTTCATTAGTTCAAGCCATCGCCCACGCTGGAATTCATGCTGTATATATGCGTAAGTTTTTTTCTAGGAGTGGTTCGGCGTTTCAGAGGCTGAATGATGATGATGAGTGCATGGATGATAAGTAATGGTAATTAACTCATTAGGCGTTCTGGTGTGAGTATCCTGAAGACAATGTGAAAGCCCAGAGTTACTTTATTAGGATTTTTTGGCCGTACGCCGGCAGATTTCGCGTTGTGGGAAAGGAGAGGGGGGAGGGGGCATAACATGCGAACATTCACCCTGCATGGATCCGCCCATCGTGCCTCTGGTCAATTTCTCAAGACCGGGCACAAAGTGCAGTTCCTTGCAACGGTCAGTGCGCGGCCTGCGTTATTTTGCATGAAAGCGTACATTCGCGCTGTAAAGAATGCGCTGAAAGGGGTCAAAAAGCTGTATATAGTATTTCTTTATGACGCGGAAAATGCTACGTATTGGCTGCGAGCGTGTCAGTTATACAGGTAGCTTATGCCGCATCACGATGAAACAAAGTGCTCATGCTGTGGCAGCATTTGTGGCTCTGTGATATATTTTAAATAGCGTATAATTAAAGCGAACATCATGAATTCATGAAGCTATTGTAGGGTGATGATCTACACAGAAAGCTTTTATATATATATATATATATATATATATATATATATATATATATATATATATATATATATATATATATATATATATATATATATATATATATATATAAACGAAGATAAAAGCAAATGTCTGTTACAAAAATAAACTCTCATTTCCTTGATGCGTAAGCGTACATCCCGTACCTTTTTTCGCACAAGAGGTGTGCAAATGCCGCACGTTTCATCATCCTGTAACTTACTTATCAATGCGACTATGGCACTAAACCCCCTATTTGTCGCTACCCCGTGATCCGACTTTTAAAAGCCCGGAAGGAAAAACAACGGGCATAAACAGTCGCCTGTGAAAGAGCTGCTAGACAGGATGGTATGTTGATGGTATATGAGAGCCTTAGCCAAATTCTTCATATATATCCCGTACCATCGCCGGGGGAGAGGGGCGTTCGGCCCCTATGATGCAGCGCTGAGCGAAGCCCCCCAATCCCCCCCCCCCCCCCCCCGCCGTACTCTCCGCCTATGATGATTGACATAACATTTCAAAACGGGTGGTGTCGAAGAATAGTGATCGGGCATGCATTATCTAACCAGGTTTGATCATATACATTGCAGTTTCGCATTCTGCCTATCTCTTTCTGAAATTTTCTTCATAAAAGCTTCTGTTTCTATAACCAGCTTGTTGTGGTGCGCAAGTTACTTCTTCCGCTTAATCTCCATTCACGTACCATCTGCGCCTTCTCTCTAAACACCTGCAACGACTCTTCTTTCATCAATCTCTTCTTTGGTCTCTTCCACCACTGTAATAATCGTCAAGAATGCTCCTCTCGGCTGCAAACTATTAATAATACACTCATCTTAGTTGAATCGCAGTGCCTGTGAAAACTTGACACCTTTTTCCGGTATTGCTAGTTGATTGTGTTTGCATGTGCCGAGTCGTATATGAGTTTTCATTGCCGTGGACATACGTCTCATCCAATTGCGAATATTCTCCGGTACGTTTTCTCCGTCAGACGGACAGCTCGGGTACCAATTAGCAGATCACAACCCTCTTTGTCATCATACAGTGTTTCCCCTCTAAATCGGGCGTGCTAACGCCAGAGCAAGTGCCATAGCCCGCTCTTGATTCCGTCATCTGAGGAGGCGCCTACATTCATTATTAATTGATTGATGTGTGGGGTTTAACGTCCCAAAACCACCATATGATTATGAGAGACGCCGTAGTGGAGGGCTCCGGAAATTTTGACAACCTGGGGTTCTTTAACGTGCACCAAATTTGAGCACATGAGCCTACAGCATCTCCGCCTCCATCGGAAATGCAGCCGCCGCAGCCGGAATTCGATCCCGCGACCTGTGGGTCAGCAGTCGAGTACCTTAGTCACTAGACCACCGCAGCGGGGCAAAGAAAATAGGTGAGTGCAGGAATTCGGACCAATTATTTGAGCAGGTATTGATTTTGGATGTGTACATAGAAGTAAACCTATAGTTCTCTGCCTGACCGGACTGACGGAAATGCATTGTCGCTTTACTAATTAGTGAAGACAGCTGCCAAGCTCCTGTCGGGAAAATACGTTTTTGAAAGGCTTGAATTCTAGTTCGATTGGCTACATACTTTTAGTTTCTTTTGCTTTTGGCGTGTAGTTGAAATTATGTCAAGTAGTTATGGGCTGCTTCCTTCTCATGAAATGCTTGTAGCCGCGGTTTCAAGATTTATGAGCCTTCACTTCTAATATAGTGTCATTCAAGTACACAAGGCGGTCTTAAAAACTATTACAAAGAATGTCGATGGAGCCAGCGTTTTGACGAAGACAACTTTACTTCGTGAAGACAACGCTGTTGCCCTGACTAAGACAAGTCAACCTGCCGAAACACTGTTGCCAGCGACGTTCTTTCTCGAAAAAATTCTGATCACTTCAAGCCTCTACGTGCCTCTGAACTTCATTCTCGTTTGGTACTCAAGCTCTGTTAGAACACTATGCGCGCGGTCATCAACAAGCGTAATTCAGTCAAATATGAGGTGTGCTGCTCGCGATTGCTGATAATTTTTGCATTGTTTCGGATATTCTGGGTTCAACGTTTGCTCGTTATGCGCATATGTCAGTTGTAAATGAAAGCTGCGTTTATAGATTGAAACTTTAACACTACGTGTATGTATCTGTTTTTTTCATGCAACGCTTGTAAAAAAAGACTCGGCCACAAAGGCTACATTCGTTAGCGTATTCACGGCAAACTATTCACTGCTGGCGACACGCACATCTCTTATTATCAGCGTGAAAGCTTGTCGCCGCGCTGATTTCGGTGCGCGTGCCCCTATCACCTATCTGTACTTTGTGCTACAGAACGTCGTCGCCCATGCGCGCGCTAATCGCATGTTACGGCTGCGGTTTGTACGTTTTGTGCTCTCGTGACAACATTACCTTGAAGTTGCAAGTTACCAAGTGCGCAAAGGACACTTCGCACGCTGCAGCTGACACGTTTGCTAAGAAAGCGCGCTATTCAAACACCAAGATGTAACAACTGTGACAGTTATTAGTAGTTCGCGCTCATCCTGTGTGTGTTCTTTCCGTGCGTTCTTTGTTCTTGAATAGCCCACTGCAATTTTAGAACTGCTTGTCATTCGTCATGGGGCATTCCAATGCATTGCTATCGCATTCACCGATTCGCCCGTGCGACGAAACGATGCACAATAAAAGGAACTAGCTGCGTGAAGACACATTTCACTTCCTTGTTATACCGATCCCTATAACGGAGGGATGACCCATGTCTTGTGTGTGTGTGTGTGTGTGTGTGTGTGTGTGTGTGTGTGTGTGTGTGTGGTGTGTGTGTGTGTGTGTGTGTGTGTGTGTGTGTGTGTGTGTGTGTGTGTGTGTGTGTGTGTGTGTGTGTGTGTGTGTGTGTGTGTGTGTGTGTGTGTGTGTGTGTGTGTGTGTGTGTGTGTGTGTGTGGTGTGTGTGTGTGTGTGTGTGTGTGTGTGTGTGTGTGTGTGTGTGTGTGTGTGTGTGTGTGTGGTGTGTGTGTGTGTGTGTGTGTGTGTGTGTGTGTGTGTGTGTGTGTGTGTGTGTGTGTGTGTGTGTGTGTGTGTGTGTGTGTGTGTGTGTGTGTGTGTGTGTGTGTGTGGTGTGTGTGTGTGTGTGTGTGTGTGTGTGTGTGTGTGTGTGTGTGTGTGTGTGTGTGTGTGTGTGTGTGTGTGTGTGTGTGTGTGTGTGTGTGTGTGTGTGGTGTGTGTGTGTGTGTGTGGTGTGTGTGTGTGTGTGTGTGTGTGTGTGTGTTGTGTGTGTGTGTGTGTGTGTGTGTGTGTGTGGGTGTGTGTGTGTGTGTGTGTGTGTGTGTGTGTGTGTGTGTGTGTGTGTGTGTGGTGTGTGTGTGTGTGTGTGTGTGTGTGTGTGTGTGTGTGTGTGTTGTGTGTGTGTGTGTGTGTGTGGTGTGTGTGTGTGTGTGTGTGTGTGTGTGTGTGTGTGTGTGTGTGTGTGTGTGTGTGGTGTGTGTGTGTGTGTGTGTGTGTGTGTGTGTGTGTGTGTGTGTGTGTGTGTGTGTGTGTGTGTGTGTGTGTGTGTGTGTGTGTGTGTGTGTGTGTGTGTGTGTGTGTGTGTGTGTGTGTGTGTGTGTGTGTGTGTGTGTGTGTGTGTGTGGTGTGTGTGTGTGTGTGTGTGTGTGTGTGTGTGTGTGTGTGTGTGTGTGTGTGTGTGGTGTGTGTGTGTGTGTGTGTGTGTGTGTGTGTGGTGTGTGTGTGTGTGTGTGTGTGTGTGTGTGTGTGTGTGTGTGTGTGTGTGTGTGTGTGTGTGTGATCACATTTTTTCGAAGCATACGAGGTTTTGACAACGTATTGGGCATTTATAACCTTGGGAGTGAATGCAATACTACAGGCACCTATATACCGAAGTCGCTCCGTGGCTGTGACATGTTGCTGGGCACAAGCAGGGTCGACGGTTGACGTGCCGGCCTTGTTGACTGAATTACGGAACACAAGACACTAGTGTATCAGACTTCTATAGGTGTTGAGCGCGAAAAAAAGACCGGAACAAATGAATAATGCACAAACATCACCAGTGTGCGTGCACATTCTTCCTTTTGCTCCTGTCTTCTGTGTCTTCTGTCACACTCAACAAACCAACAAGCCCGCATAGCCACTCTCGAGTATCAATTATTGGGTGCAC